GACTTTCTTCTTAAGGCTCTGATCAAGCAAAGTACTTAAGGAGCTCAATTTAACCATATGCTTAAGATCCATTAAAATTTCAATGAAATCAAGTTTAACAAATAGGGGTATGCCTACACTACAGAGTTTTGTCGGAAAAACGGCCATTTTTCTGACAAAACCTGAGTTATGTCCACACTGCAATTGCATTCTTCCAAAAGTAAATCTAAAGAACAGAGGGGGTTTTCTGGTGCTGGTGATCCTCTTTCTATGAGGAAGAGGTCTTTTACGGAAAGAGCTCTTTTGGAAAAAGTTGTATATGGATGGGGAAGAGGGAGTTCTTTCGAAAGAAGAGGAAAAAGCACAAATGTCCATAGTAATCACAGCTTAAATGCAAGATAGCATCCACATTGAATGGATGCTATCTCTTGAAAAAGCAGACCTCTTTTTTGATGCGCTTTTGTGTGTGGACGCTCTCTTTCGGAAGAAGTTTTTCTGGAAGATCTCTTCAGAAAAAAGGTTCTTCCAAAAGAAGCCTGCAGTTTAGACATAGCATAGGAGTGGATTTAAGCACAAAGTCAAGCATGTGCTTAAGTGTTGAATTAGGGCATCTGTCACCCTAACCCCCCCAAAAAAAATCTCTCATAAGTAGTTTCAATCTCTCTTTTGTAGGCATTTCCACCTCTGTCATGGATGGTATCCTATAGTAATTGAGCAAACTTCTCTACTCTGGTATTTTGCAGAAAAATGTCGCACTGCTATATAACAGCTGGCTATTACTTTTATTTCTGCATTACTACTGGTAGTAACCATAGTGGTAGTACTAGTCTAGGTAGGGCCCAAACTTGTATCTAAAATAAATAAAGTTCACATCATTCATAGGTGGACAGCAATAAGTGTTCCAGAGGCAAAAAATGTGACAGTAATATTACAGACCCCAGTAGAGCAAAATACTTAAGTACAAGACTTCAACATGTGAGAAGTCATGCTTCGCTAAAGTGGACTATTCATATGGTTAAAGTGAGATACAAGTTTCAGTACCTTGCTGAAATGGGGCCTAACTGAGAAACCGCAAATGTGTGTATTTAAGCTTTGGAACAATAACTTTCTTTCACAGATTTTTTTTCTTATTTTAAGCAAGGTGGAAAAGCTTAACATAAAGTTAACAGATCTTTTGGTTTGGGATATATATAGCTGACCTGGAACAGTCTGCATATTTCCTAGTCTTTTTAGTCTTTTGTTAAGGTCCAGATAACTTCATTCTTTATATGCCTGCTATTCCTCTAGGTCTTCTTCCTTTTACACTGTACACACTGATACATTTTAAATGCAGAATTCTACTTGAGGCCATGGTTTCCCCCTGGTGAAGGACTAGGTAGCTCTATTTTTAAAAATACATGGGTTCTGGTATTTATTATTGCTAACCAGAAGCAATAGCAGAGTTTTCCTATTATCTTTCTGCATGGGAGGCTACAATTTATATACTTGCTGATTTGTTCATCTATCATTTATTTGTTTGTATCTGTAGTGTTGCTGTTTACACCATTCTTTTAAGCCATTTCTTTTGACCTCAATCAGTCATGGTTTATTATCACTTCAGATATGGTATTGTCAACCTTATCTTTGAAGAGTTGTTTATAAATGTAAATACAAAAGTAGACCATCCCTCCATTGCTGAAGTGAAGCAGCACAAATCTTTAGCAAAAACAAAACAATCCTTTACAACTTATAAGGAGCCCAGTTGCCTAAGCACTGTTGAATATTTTGTAGCATCACAGTATAGAGGGGTATTTTAATGAGATATTTAAAGGTGGATAATATAGTGGGGGCTTTGCAGACTTTTCAAGGGAGCTCTTCAGATGCATGATGAGGGTAAGTGTTGGAAAATGTGCCCATTGGGCAGTTTGCATCATTGGAAGAGAGTAGGCAGAAGAGCTCCTTAGCATATACCTGATAAGTGGCAGGGCAGGAATAGGCCACAAAAGTACTTAAAAATGAAGACAAGTAGTAGACAATGTGCTTATGAATGCAGGGAATGAATATGACAACAGTCTGTCTCCGAAAGATATCAATAGGAGAGCCTAAAATAAGGCAGAATTTATTTTCTGTCCCTTTTTGGGTGTGTTTTCTGGGGTGTAGTTAGAGGTTCTGGAGGATAAGAAGAAACAGAAATGTGCTCCCAGAGATGTACCAGCTTCATGTATCATACGAGAAAGCTTCAAGAGTGCCTGTTATGTAAACATAACAACAGTGGGTTAATGTCAAAGCTCTTACTCAATTTTCACTCACTTTTTACTTTGGCAACATATTTATTGATGACAATAGAAGTTTTGACACAGGAAGGACTGAGTAAAGTCAAGGTAAATACATCCTGAACTGGCCCAATGCTAATAACATAGAATTGCTAAATAGTATACTAATAAAATGTATATTAATCTAATAATACTAATACAGGCAGTCCCCGAGTTACGCGGATCCGACTTATGTCGGATCCACAGTTACGAACGGGGCTTTTCTCGCCCCGGAGGACGGGAGCGGCGGGACGCCCAGATGCGCCGCGGTCCGCAGCCCCCGTCCTCTGGGGCGAGAAAAGCTGCTCCCTGTCTCCCTGGTCTGCAGGGAGACGGGGAGCAAAGCCTTGGAGCACACACACAGCGGGGCTTTTTCCCCTTGCAATCCCTATCAAGAATACAAGGATATTGGGACCCAATTAAAAAAAAAAAAAAAAAAAAAAGCTCTTTTGCAATTATTTGACAATACTGGGAAAGGTGAAAGATTCTAAATCATAAAATGATACAAAGCACGGTGCATGGTGAAGCTGGTAAAACAATCTGCATAGAATAGAAGGTGGACTTTCCAGCTATATTTAAATCCAGCCATGTAAGACTAGAAGATCTGAAATATGCCTTCAGTATTGACAGTAGGAAATAGATCAAGGTTAATTTGTAGTCAAAATGATTAAGCATCTGGTTCTATTTCTTCAGTAGAAGTTGAGTATCAGCACTTCACCTACGTCACACCACACATGAAGAAAAGTAGGATAAAAGAAAAACTGGCAGTACAGGCAGTCCCTGGGTTACGTACAAGATAGGGACTGTAGGTTTGTTCTTAAGTTGAATCTGTATGTAAGTCAGAACTGGCGTCCAGATTCAGCCGCGGTTGAAACTGATCAGTTTCAGCAGCGGCTGATGCCAGTTCCGACTTACATACAGATTCAACTTAAGAACAAACCTACAGTCCCTATCTTGTACGTAACCCAGGGACTGCCTGTACTGCCAGTTTTTCTTTTATCCTACTTTTCTTCATGTGTGGTGTGACGTAGGTGAAGTGCTGATACTCAACTTCTACTGAAGAAATAGAACCAGATGCTTAATCATTTTGACTACAAATTAACCTTGATCTATTTCCTACTGTCAATACTGAAGGCATATTTCAGATCTTCTAGTCTTACATGGCTGGATTTAAATATAGCTGGAAAGTCCACCTTCTATTCTATGCAGATTGTTTTACCAGCTTCACCATGCACCGTGCTTTGTATCATTTTATGATTTAGAATCTTTCACCTTTCCCAGTATTGTCAAATAATTGCAAAAGAGCTTTTTTTTTTTTTTTTTTTTAAATTGGGTCCCAATATCCTTGTATTCTTGATAGGGATTGCAAGGGGAAAAAGGCCTCTGAGTTTTCTATATGAACCGTTTCTTTCACAGGTACAGTCTTTACAATCCTAAAGGATATTATTTATCATTTTCTAGACCTTACATGTTATGAATAATCCAACTTTGTGCATTTTAATTAGAAATAAATTACTATTTATTTGCAATTCCCTGTTAGAATTCTAAGTAGAGCCACTTTGTTTTTCCCCTGAGGAACTTGGGTTATATAAACATAGTGAACTGTTGGGCATACTTCTTGAAATTTCCTATCCACTCCCCAACCCTCAGCTCCCCTTTGTTTCATTTGTCCACAGTTCTTGCCAATTCTTCTTGAGCTCATTGCTACAGTGGTTTTCTAGGTCAGTTTGTTTCTGATTCATAGCACTTTTTGCCTGTTTGTCTGAAAATTCATTGCCTGCTATCTTGAGATGCTCCAGGATCCATACTGTTACTGTGGCCATTTCAAATTGCACCAGTTTGATTGTTAGTAGTATTTCATTAAGAATACCATTTGTGCTATCAGATTTATCACTGTAAATTGCCTTCATCTCTAGTAAGGAATCAGGCAGCCAGCTGCCATTGACATCCTATCTAAAAGCCCAATTTAGTCTCAGCATAATCCCTGCTACCTTAGCCATAAAGATGGAGACAAAGTTAGTTTGAGTGAGGGCATGCAGAAAGCTGTCCCAAATCTTATTCTTCAGAGGGGTTGCAGAGTTAGTCTGTAACAGGAAAAATTTAAAAAACAACAAATAGTCTAGTAGCATCTTAAAGACTAACAAAACATGTAGATGGAATCATGAGCTTTTGTGGGCACAACCCACTTCTTCAGATGACATGAGTATTAGAAGTCCAGAGGGAGGAGGGGGAGAGGGAGAAGGAAAAAAGAGACAGTGAGTAGATAAGCTTCACAGGGATAGCCAAGTTAGTCTGTACCAGGAAAAACTTAAAAACCAACAATTAGTCTAGTAGCACCTTAAAGACTAAATAGTTACAAGAGGCTGATAAGAACCATTAGTTTAAACCTGGAAAGGAAGATGACCAACACCAGATTCTACACACACATCAAGAACCATTAGAACCTTCATTGGTTAGTTGGTTGATAATGTGTGAGCAATCAGATATCCCATTCCAACCATTAGGATAGGAATTAAACCTGTGAATGAAGTTAAATTCCAATCCTTCTCTGTGTATTTGGTTTGTGGAATTGATCTGAAACAAAACTGTGACTTGGAGATCCATTAATGAATGTCCAGGAAGAGTAAAGTGTTCTCCAACAGGTTTTTGTGTGTTGCCTTTTTGGATATTTGATTTGTGTCCACTAATTAGAGACAAACACCTACGGGATCTATATAGAGCATTCTTAAAACTGAAATACCCATCTGGAGAAGTGAAAAAACAGATTTAATTTAGGTGTTTAAGCATTTCAAAGCTTGCCTGGTAATATGCTTTTGTTCCTTATTATTGCTTTTTGGAGTTCTCTCATACTAATATTTTCATCTGAAAGCCTTGTCATTACTGAAGTTTTGAAACATGGTGGCCAGAATTTCTGCTTTTTTCTTTATTGGAGCTTATTACTCCATGGCCGGCACCTGCAAGGCTTGGCATTATGCCAGTCCTACTCCCGATTCCCTTAGTTCTTCTTCAGATAGTGTCCCCGGGGGTGCTCCACTGTGGGTGTTGGGCGCGTCCCAGCGCCGCAGTCTGGAGATGTTTCAGCTGTCATTCCCTGGACCGCGCATGAGCGGCGGCCATCTTGCGACTTTTCGTGACATTTCTGCTCGTGGGGTCCGGCCTCGCCAGTTCTTTTGACCATCCTTGGGTGCAGACGGAGTTCTAGCTCTCTCTCATGATCATCCTGTCAGAATTCAGAAAAGAACAATTGTATATAGTTACTCGTTCAGCTCTTAGTTAATTAGTTGTCGTAGTTATTAGTTAGTTAGTTTTAAAAAAATTTCTTAGCTAGTAGTTATCTTTGTTTTTCAACCATGTCCAGTTCACCAGGCTTCAAGAAGTGCCTGACATTTGGGGACTCCATACCCGCGTCTGATGGGCACTCATCCTGCATTAAGTGCCTTGGGGAAGCCCATATTCCCCCAAAATGTCAGCACTGTTCCAGGCTGACGGTGAGAGCGCGGCGCGACCGCGAAATGCGCCTCAAAATGCTTTTGTTCAATAAGGCGCTCCGGCCACAGACTGAGGAACAGCTAGCTACATCGCGCCAGTCTTCCCCTGCTGCGGCTACCTCCTGAAGGACTCGCTCCCCTTCGCGCTTGTTGCCAGCCATGCAAGCGAGCCTGCGGGACGGCCCGGGCGCGTCTCATAAAACGCTGACACGAAAATCGCATGATGACAAGCTGGTGCAGAGCATATTGGTACTGAGCTCAACGGGGCACCGAAAACCACCTTGGCACCAAAGGCCATGTCAGTACTGAAAGCCACCTCGGCACTTCGGCACCTCCGGCACCGGACCTGCCAACGACATTGACCTCAATAGAGCACGCAGTGCCCAGCTCCTCGGCACCGAGGCCAATATCTGAGCAATCTCCCGTGAGACAAAAGGGATCTACTCATGCACCACTCCCACCGTCTGACCGTGCATCTACATCTGCACATACAATACAAACACCAGGATCCCCATTGAGGCATTCTCCAACTCTCTCATATTCCCGGAGGATCTCCCACCAAGTACCTCTCTTCCCACACCTCTGCTACAGGCTTCTCCTTCCTCAGTTAGTGGCAGACCACCACCAAGTCCAGAACCCACAGTCTTCTCTCCAGAACTGCCATCTCCACCTACACATTATCGTCGATTGAGACATAGCATCTTCCCTTCACCTAGGTATCATCACAAGCACTGCCGCTCATCTTCCCCCTGCTATTCTCATCGCAGGTCTAGGTCACCGAGATCCCCATCCTACGCTTGGGACTACAGATACAGAGATGTCTACACATGCTCGTACCACCACAGATATGATGACCGCTGGCACTCGCCAGGACTAATGACACCGCTATGCTCAGTCGATCTGCTCCTCACCATCCCCAGCCCCATCACGGTTCACTCACGGCGGGAACAGATTCTCTACTCCACCGGATTACTCCTGACCGATTACTCCTTCCGGTGATCTACCCCCTGCTCAACAGCCTGTTGATGTACCACCGCAGGCTTCAGAAACGGAGGCACCACAACAATCTCCTACAGACGTAGATTCCTCTTCTCCGGAGGACGCCATCCTCACTGGAGACACTTTTTTCGCAGGGTAGCGGATACACAGAACGTCAAACTTTCTGAAGCCTAACACAAGCAACATCATCTGCTACATAACTTACATCCATCTTCCCATGCCTCCAAAATCGCACTGCCTTTGGATGAGGCTATATTCGAAATCGCCAATACTATCTTGCAGACGCCGGCCACGGCCCCGCCTATGAATAAGAAGGCCAACAAGAAATATTATGTTCCGGCCACGGGGATGGAATATCCCTTTACACATCCCCAACCAAATTCGTTGGTCATAGACGCAGCGCAACAGTGTGCAAAATCTCCCCAGCACAAAACAATGACTGGGGATAAGACAATAAATGCCTCGACCTGCTCGGGAGGAAGGTCTATTCCTCGCCCACTTCCATTCTCCGAATGGCCAATGCGGATAATTATTCCGCGTTGCTGGCTAATCACAGCTTTGATAATTATGCAAATCTAGCGCAATTACTGGAACACCTACCAGACACAAAACGCCACCTTCTTAAGACCATCATCCAAGAAGGTTACATGGCCTCTCGCTCAGCATTGAATATAGCTCTCGATACTGCGGACGCGGCAGCTAGAACAACGGCGACGTCAATCGTTATGTGTAGAGCCTCGTGGCTCCATATGGCAGCAGTCCCCAGAGAGCTTCAAGCGAAGGTTAAGGATCTGCCCTTTGACACCCTGGGCTTATTTGCGGAGAAAACAGACCAACTTCTCCACTCTGGCAAGGACTCACACACCACCTTGAGGACCTTGGGCACGTAAACACATCCATATTGTGGCAGAATGTATACACCTTACCAGAAACAGAGACTGCTCGCTTATGCACAGCCACAGCTGTACGAACAACAATGCCCTAAACAACGTCCTCAAAGATGCTGACCACAACCTCCCAGACCTACAGCCCAGCCACAATCCAAACATCAAGTTTGACATGCTTCTTGAGGGCTTGCAAGCCATTCCTGTCCTTGCTGCTCCACACGTCCATATTGCTCTCTTCCACCACTGCCTGCAACCCTTTCAACATCATTGGGCCTCAATAACATCAGACAGATGGGTCATCCCCACAGGCTACGTAATTCCCTTCACATCCCATCCTCTTACCAACCCTCCACCCTTCCCGTCCCTTTTCAGGGACTCATCTCTCGAACTTCTCCTCAAACGAGAAGTGGATCATCTTCTTACTATTGGAGCCATAGAGAAGGTGCCCACATCATTCCACGGAAGACGGTATTACTCCCGTTATTTTCTAACACAGAAGAAATCCGGCGGTTGGAGGCCCATACTAGACCTCCCCGGTCTCAATCGATACGTGCGCAGGCAGTGATTCAAGATGGTTACTCTCACCACCATCATACCGGCATTGCAGCAAGAGGACTGGTTTGCTTCCCTCAACTTACAGGACGCCTATTTCCATATCACAATCCACCTGCTCACAGGCGTTTTCTCTGCTTTCTTGTAGGTGACAAACACTACCAATACAAAGTTCTACCGTTCGGTCTCTCATCCACATCAAGAGTCTTTTCCAAGACACTTGCCATGGTGACAGCCTTTCTCCCCTGTTCAGAGATTATAATCTTCCCTTACCTCGACGACTGCCTGCTCAGAGCCTGATCCTTCAACGAGGCCTCCACCGCAGTCTCCAAGACAAGGCTTCTTTTCGACAGCCTAGGCCTCATAACCAATATTCAGAAATCATCCCTCATCCCACAACAGGCTATAGAATTTATCAGCGTTCGTCTCGATTCTGTCACGGCTCGTGCCTACTGCCCAACAGCAGACTCACCACAATTCAAGATCTTGTACAAATTCTCACTACCGGCCCCACAGTCTCAGGGTATGTCTACACTACCCTCCTAGTTTGAACTAGGAGGGTAATGTAGGCATACCGCACTTGCAAATGAAGCCCGGGATTTGAATTTCCCGGGCTTCATTTGCATAAGCCCGGCGCCGCCATTTTTAAATCCCGGCTCGTTCGAACCCTGTGCCGCACGGCTACACGCGGCACGGACTAGGTAGTTCGGACTAGGCTTCCTAGTCCGAACTACCGTTACTCCTCGTGGAATGAGGAGTAAAGCCGCACGCTTCTCCTCACCATGCTGCTCTCAATTCCCTGGATGTCCGTAGATCACTGGCTTTTTATATCGAAAGGACCTGAACCATACGAAAAACAGATCAACTTTTCATTTCCATGGACGCCCGCACCAAAGGGCGCTCGTTGTCATCTCAGCGGTTGTCCAAACTAATCGTCTCATGCATTATGCAATGCTACCACATGAGGAAAATCGCCCTGTCCCACAGGATCAGAGCACATTTCACCAGAGCTGTGGCATCATCAACAGCTTTCCTTAAGGGAGTTCCCTTGAAGGACATTTGCTGAGCGGCAACTTGGTCCTCCGAACTTACGTTCGCGAACCATTATGCTCTTTCCAAGCTCATCATCTCGGACACAGCAGTAGCCAACGCTGTCCTTTCCTTGACACCGCACTAACTCCGACCCTCCTCCTTATGTACGCTATTGCTATGGAGTCACCCACAGTGGAGCATCCACGGGGCACTACCCAAAGAAGAAATTACTCACCTTGTGCAGTAACGATGGTTCTTCGAGGTGTGTATCTCCGTGGGTGTGCCACGATCCGCCCTCCTCCTCTTCAGAGTCTCTTGTTTATCCTGCAGACCTCAACGGTCGGGAGAAACTGGCGAGGCTGGACCGCGCGACCAGAAACAGTGCAAAAAGCCGCAAGATGGCCACTGTGCATGAGCGGTCCGGCTAACGACAGCTGAAACATCTCCGGACTGCGGCGCTGGGACGGGCCCGACACCCACAGTGGAGCACTCACGGGGGCACACACCTCGAAGAACCATCGTTACTGCACAAGGTGAGTAA